TGGGGCCTTCGGTGGAGCTCCCTGTGGGGCCACGAAACGTGTGAGGGGTGTGCCGAAATGGGTGTGCGGGACGCATGCGGACGGCAGCATGGGGCCTTCGGTGGAGCTCCCTATGGGGCCACGAAACGTGTGAGGGGTGTGCCGAAATGGGTGTGCGGGACGCATGCGGACGGCAGCACTGGGGCCTTCGGTGGAGCTCCCTGTGGGGCCACGAAACGTGTGAGGGGTGTGCCGAAATGGGTGTGCGGGACGCATGCGGACGGCAGCCATGGGGCCTTCGGTGGAGCTCCCTATGGGGCCACGAAACGTGTGAGGGGTGTGCCGAAATGGGTGTGCGGGACGCATGCGGACGGCAGCACTGGGGCCTTCGGTGGAGCTCCCTATGGGGCCACGAAACGTGTGAGGGGTGTGAGGAGGAGGAGGGGAGAGGAGGCGGAGGAGGAAGGAGGAAGGAGACGCGGGGCACCGTCTCTTCAAAACGAGGACCCAACACCACAGGATGGTTGGGAAAAAAACGAGTAGCGTCGCGAAGCCCTCCCTGCTTCGAAAGAGCTTTCTCGAAAAGCACGCCCCCGTCGCGCCGAGCCGCGAGGGTGGCCAAACGCGTGAGCGCGGGTCCAAGCGAAGACAGCGGCTGCTGGTCCACTACGCATCCTCCCCGACTGACGATGCGGCACGGAACCACGTGAGCAGCCCGCCCACCGCCAGCGCCGCAATCCGCACGCCCGCGGCGACGAGTTCCCGCTGCGAGGCGACGTTGGTCGGCGGCTGCGAGTTCTGGGGGGTGGAGAAAGGGAGAAAGAAGAACCCGCAGAAGCGAGAAAAGCACCATGACCACCTCTGGCAAAAACCATCCTGGACCCTAGAATAGTGTACGGACCCTCCTGGTCGCGGCCAGGAGGGTGCATACACAAATCCAAGGCCTAGGATGACCCTGGCCAAGGATAATGGCGGTGTAGAACTGGCTTCTGTGGAAAACACGGGCGAGCCAAAACGATGTGAAAACCATCCCGTTCAGAGACCAGCGGGGCCAGACAAGCCAAAATGCAGTGAAAGCGGAGACCCTCCGGTCAGATACCAGTTGGACTACAGGCGACACAGTGGCATGAAAATGCACATCACTCGGAGATTAGCGAGGCCACGGGCGAGCGTAGAAACGCAGCCCGTTGAGACACCAACGGGGACCACGGACAAGCAAACGCGAGGTGAAAAAGAAGATCGTTGACAGACCAGCGCAGCCACGGACGAACCAATACGAGGTGAAAACGGACACGGTTGAGAGACCAAAGCGGCCACGGGAAAACCAAAGCGAGATTATCAGGCAGACTGTTTAGAGACCAGCAGGGCCACGGGCGAACCAACACGAACTGAAGACGAGGACCGTTTAAGGACTAGCGGGGCCGTGCGCGACCAAAAACGATGTGAAAACGGAGAAAAACCACAAGACCAGCGGGGCCATGGGCGATCCAAGACGAGGTGAAGACTATCAAAGCCACTCGCGACCCACAACGAGGTGAAACCAAGCACTGTTGAGAAGCAAACTGGGCCACGGTCGAGTCAAAACAAAGTCGCATACCATTGTGACACTAACGGGGACCACGGACAAGCAAACGCGAGGTGAAGAAAAAGATCGTTGACAGACCAGCGCAGCCACGGACGAACCAATACGAGGTGAAAACGGACACGGTCAAGAAACCAAAGCGGCCACGGGAAAACCAAAGCGAGATTATCAGGCAGACTGTGTAGAGACCAGCAGGGCCACGGGCGAACCAAAACGAACTGAAGACGAGGACCGTTCAAGGACTAGCGGGGTCGTGCGCGACCAAAAACGACGTTAAAACGGAGAAAAACCACAAGACCAGCGGGGCCATGGGCGATCCAAGACGAGGTGAAGACTAGCAAAGCCACTCGCGACCCACAACGAGGTGAAACCAAGCACTGTTGAGAAGCAAACTGGGCCACGGGCGAGTCAAAACAAAGTCGCATACCATTGTGACACTAACGGGGACCACGGACAAGCAAACGCGAGGTGAAGAGAAAGATCGTTGACAGACCAGCGCAGCCACGGACGAACCAATACGAGGTGAAAACGGACACGGTTAAGAAACCAAAGCGGCCACGGGAAAACCAAAGCGAGATTATCAGGCAGACTGTGTAGAGACCAGCAAGGCCACGGGCGAACCAAAACGAACTGAAGACGAAGACCGTTCAAGGACTAGCGGGGTCGTGCGCGACCAAACATGATGTGAAAACGGAGAAAACCCACAAGACCAGCGGGGCCATGGGCGATCCAAGACGAGGTGAAGACTAGCAAAGCCACTCGCGACCCACAACGAGGTGAACCCAAGCACTGTTGAGAAGCAAACTGGGCCACGGGCGAGTCAAAACAAAGTTGCATGCCATTGTGACACTAACGGGGACCACGGACAAGCAAACGCGAGGTGAAAAAGAAGATCGTTGAGAGACCAGCGCAGCCACGGACGAACCAATACGACGTGAAAACGGGCACGGTTGAGAGACCAAAGAGGCCACGGGAAAACCAAAGCGAGATTATCAAGCAAACTGTTTAGAGACCAGCAGGGCCACGGGCGAACCAACACGAACTGAAGACGAGGACCGTTCAAGGACTAGCGGGGCCGTGCGCGACCAAAAACGACGTTAAAACGGAGAGAAAAAAAAAAAAAAAAGTGGGGCCATGGGCGAACCAAGACGAGGTGAAGACTAGCAAAGCCACGGGCGACCCACAACGAGGTGAACCCAAGCACTGTTGAGAAGCAAGCTGGGCCACGGGCGAGTCAAAACAAAGTCGCATACCATTACGACACTAACGGTGACCACGGACAAGCAAACGCGAGGAGAAAAAGAAGATCGTTGACAGACCAGCGCAGCCACGGACGAACCAATACGAGGTGAAAACGGGCACGGTTGTTTAGAGACCAGCAGGGCCACGGGCGAACCAACACGAACTGAAAACGAGGACCGTTTAAGGACTAGCGGGGCCGTGCGCGACCAAAAACGACGATAAAACAG